CCATCATCCAAGATTCTGAAGGCCGCACGGCTCGTGCACTCACCATCTAGCAGAGGGAAGACCACCGCCACATCTACGAAGCCAAGCGAGAACATGCACTACACTTACGAGACTAAACCAACCTAGCCGTTGATTGAACCGGAATCACTACTCAAATCATTAAAAAATAAAAAATGTATGCTGTCTTGCCATCTCGATATTGATGGTGTTCCTCCGCCATGGGACATTAGACCGGACCTGACCTATAATCGTGCTGAATGTGTCCTCATTGAGTTCTCTTTCCGCAGGGACACCGCCCCAGCCGACGAGAACTCAGAATCCGCGACTGTCTCCGATATATGTAGTTGGCAATAACGCGTTGTACTGTGTGTGTAAGAATGATAAAATATAGAAAACAAACAAAAATACAACAATAGTACAAAAACGCGTTACGCAAATTATTTGTTTAACCGGACAATAGTAGATTGCATATGCCCTCATCCCCTTTCCTACTCAGACCGGTTCAAACGATCAGGAAGTGCAGGAAATGAAGTGTAAGAGAAAAGGTGCGATAAATGTATTGTGTAAAACAGTATATTAAAATATTCTAACAGTTAATATTAAACGCTGTACGGTGCATGAAGTGAAAGTGCGCGAGTTTGAATGTAGTAAGGTGAGTAAGTTTATCCATTTAAACAGGATGTATAATATATGTATTTGAATATCTATGCAAAAATTCATGTGCATGTATTTGAAGGAGACGACGTATAATTTATTGTATTTTTTTAAATTTGTAATTTTATGTTGTTTCATGTTTCTGAATTCTGCCACCGGGCAACATCTGGCAAGTTACGTTTACAAAATTACGTTTTAATTATCTATCTTTATAGGGTGCGATGGTGGAATAAGGATGAGTAAAGAAAGTTAGTGACTCGCTTGTTAAGATACTTTTCCAGCCTTCCCCTGATATTAAAGGGAAAAAAACACGGAAAACTACCAATCAAAGCAACTAAATTCTTCTCCAGATGCTAAAATTCTTCTCCAGGCAGACACTAAATTTGAAGCAGTTAATTTAAATATTAAAAATTCGTCACCGACAGACCCCGAACTCTATGACCACTTTCTCATTGACGCTTCAGAGACAATAGAAAAATTGCCACTGAACCATCGCAAATGGACGTTTCACAAAATTCAGAATCATTTTTTAGCTATTCTATAGGATACTAAACATAACATGAGGGTTCGAATGGACATAAATTCCTCTCACTATACTATTGCTTTTAGTGGAAATGATTACTCTTGCATTTGATTTGACACAATTAGATAAAATTCTATGTGTAACGACCTCCTGAAACGTGTCTTGAATATGGCGCTGACTTTCCCAGATACTGCATGGGCTTAAAATGGTATATTCGTTCATCGAAAACGTACTGTATATTCAGTCAGATTCGAGTTAGATTATTCTCCATCAGTGGCCCTTGCAAGCAGATCGTTCAATTCTCTTAATGTCAAACGAACTTGATTATTTGAAGCATCTCATGTTTTTGACTTAACTAGAGCACGTTTTTGTGATGGGTCTTCATTCCCAATTCAGTTCATCGAGCCTCATAACTTCAGAAAAAGTCTAATAAATTGGTAACCGTCATAGAAAATCTGTGCTCCTCGTATATCACAAGCACACATATCCACGTCATTCGATAAAGAAAAATGGCTTTGACTGCAATGAGTAATCGAAGTTTTCAGTTTCACAGATGCACTCTCTGTCATCTGATCTTGTCCGCCAGTGACGTAAGCCGAACGCAATGATACGGATGCTACTGAATAGACCCGAGCTCAGTCTACGTCATAGAGGATGGAGGAGGGATGACGCATTAGAGTCCGTATCCTCAAACTGCAAACATCGACCGCTCACCGCTCTCAGAGCCCCCCCTCCCCTTCCCACCCTCTACCTCTCCCTCTTTCCTTTCCGAATGAAGGAAACCAGCCGATGTGTTATTTGTTGCTCGCTCAGGCACACTTGCAACTTCGCTTCAATGGGCGGCCAGATCGAATTTCTTTGACGTCACATATACAGCTGATTTACTCCTCGAAGCTAAAATAGAAGCTGAGCGTCAAGTACGTCTATGCAGGTATATCCATGGGCGAAATAATGAAGGGTACACTCTCAGAACAAATTCTATTTCAAATACGTCCCGTCATTTGTCATATTCTTGTAAAATATCTAAATAATAAATTGCATGCTGAGATGTGCTTCTAGTTTCTCACTTCCATGTGTCTGTAATGAAAAACAAAAATAGAGAAGTGTGTTTCCACGTTTTATTTTCGTGCTAAAACTGACTATCTTTTCATATTTTGTGCGAGTAATACGGTCTTTGTAAAGTTATCTCATTATATTATAATATTTAAAAACGCAATGATAACAAAAGCCTAAATTTCAAAATGATTAATTCATTTCACAATTTCGCTTTTTGCCTATGGATATATTTATTTGACCGACCGTCTGTAGTAGTGAATGTTGTAGTTCTCAAAAGTCTTACCGTGAACCAGAATGTCCTAGGTACGCCTTAGTACGTCTTGTCGACTGATATTCGACAGCAGGTACAAACGAAAAACTGGTTTGATACCACCGTCTAGAGGAGATTTTAATACGCCGACGTCTCTGATCGAATGTTTCCGTTGTTTCCTCCGATCAGGTTCAAGTGGATCTAGGAATAGTGCCTTAAACAAAGGTCCACAACCCTTCCATCCGCGATTCTTCCTTCCCCGTTCTACCTCAGTCCTATCCTTGATGCGGGGCGATGGACAGTTTCCAACCCCATGGTGCATTACTCGCGATCTCAAAAGACTCCGACATTACTGCAAACACGATACTGACAGACTTGACACTAAGCCAAGGTCGGAACTCAGCTACGGAACCATTGGAAAGGAATGAAGAATAAGTAAATAAAATGATCTTCAATACGTCACCTTTCTTTAAGAATCATGACAGCCCCATATGCCTAGATTTAAAATTATATACTGAATAATTGTGAAAAATATGAGAAATCTGAATTGATGCATTTCATAAGTCTGTCAACAACCTCGAAGTCTAGGGTAACTTACAAATTTTGTAAATTCGAAAATATCCTCGTATAAAGTGAGATTAGATTAATATTAGTTATATTTTTATTAAATAACTCAATAATTTTTACATTGTTTCTTATTATAATAATACCATAATATTGTTATTATTATTATTATTAT